AGATACTACTGTATACATCCCTAGAATAGCTACAATAAAAAAGACAGATGTAATACAGACGTAATAAGTGTCAGCAAGGATGTGGAGAAAATGGAACCCTTATACTATTACTAGTGAGATTGTAAAATGGTGTAGCCACTGTGGAAAACAGTTTAGCAATTCCTCAAACAGTTAAAGATAGAGTTATATGACTCATTAATTACACTCCTAGGTACCTACATAAGAGAAATGATAACAAATGTCCACACAAAAACCGCTACTCAAATGTTCATAGCAACATTACTCATTATAGCCAAAAAAGTAGAAACAACCTAAATGCCCATTATCTGATAAATGAAACTAAATATGATATATCCATGTATTGAGATGTTATTTGGCAATAAAAAAGAATTGAGTACTGATACATGCTGCAAAATGGATGAACTTTGAAAATTTGGAGCACATCTGATTCTCTCAGAATAAACTTATCACCTATAAATTATATTTAGAGGCAGAATGCAATGAAAACACTAAGCTTTCCCTAATTAAAAATATACCTAGTGGCCAAATCTTGGTTTCTAAATACCATCTTCCAATAAAGGACATCAAGAGTCTTTGGAAAAATGGCTAATTCTACAACTAGTGAAGGGAAAATAAAAATTAAGTCTAGGAAAATTGCCCAAACTTGGAAGAAACCAAGATGCCCTTCAATAGGTGAATGGATTGTTCAATAGGTGAACAGATTACTATTTAACATTTTAAAAAAATGAGTTATCCACCATGAAAAGACTTGGAGAACCTTTATATTACTAAATAACAGAAGCCTATCTGAGTTGGGAACCATGGCTAATGCTTGTAATCCCAGCACTGTGGGAGGTGGGGGCAGGAGGACTGCTTGAGGCCAGGAGTTCAAGATCAACCTGGACAACAGAGAGACCCCATCCCTACAAAGAATAAAAAATGAAAATTAGCCAGGAGTGGCAGCATGCACTTGTGGTCCTAGCAACTCAGGAGGCTAAGAAGGAAGGAATACTTGAGCCCAGGAGCACACAGCTGCAGTGAGATATGAATGCGCCAATGCAGAAGAAGAAAGAAGGAAGGAGGAGGGGGGAGGAGAGGGAAGAAGAGGGGAGGAGGAGGAGAAGCGGCAGCAGCCACCATCACCGCCAATCTAAAAAGGATCTATAGTGTATGATTCCAACTATATGACATTCTGGAAAAGGCAAAACTATGGAAACAGTCAAAAAAACTCAGTGGTTAGAAGGGAGGAAGAGATGACTTAGGCAGAGCACAGAGGAGTTTTAGGGCAGCAAAAACTATTCTGAATGATACCATAATGATGAACATATGCCATTTGTCCAAAACCATTGAATGCACAATACCAAGACTGAACACTAACGTAAGCTATGGGCTTTGGAGTAATAACAATGTGCCAATGTAGGTTAATTGTTTAAAAAGAAAGAGAGTCAGTGAACGAATCTCAAACAATCACCAAAACCTGGGATAACTTGTAGTGCCAGAGAATAAGGAAGTACTCAAAGGATGGGGGCATGTTAAAAGGACACGAGTTAACATGCATGAGTTCACAATAACTAAAACTAAAATAGCTTAAGCAATAAAGTAACATGTAACATCGTATTGAACGATAACCCATACTATAAAATAAACATACCTGAACCCATTTTGATATAAATAATTACATAAATAAAAAAAATAAGGGGGAAGCAACAACAAGCCTGTCAACCCAATTCCAAATATTCTCCCTGCAGGGAATGGTTCTTAATCCCATCTCCCACTCCTCAAACCCCCACACTCAGTAGATTAGCCTTAGTGATTCACTTCCAAAGAATAGAATAGGGAAAGGGGAAAACGTTTCAGTACATTTTCAGTGAAGATACTTGGCAATCATGACCTCATCCAAGTAATGAAGGTTAACATCACCATATATATCTCATATCCCCTGTTATGATGAGAAGAACACTTTATCTCTCTGGTATTCTTTTCAGAAACCCATATAACCCCAGTCTGATCATAAGAAAAACGTCATAAGCCGGGCTCGGTGGCTCAGCCTGTAATCCCACGCCTTTGGGAGACTGAGGTGAGTGGATTGCCTGAGCCCGTGGATTCGAGACCTGCCTGGGCAACTTGGTGAGACCTCATCTCTACAATAAATCAAAAAATGAGCCGGGCGTGGTAGCGCATGCCTGTAGTTCCGGCTACTTGGAAGGCTGAGGCGGAAGGATCGCCAGAGCCCAGCAGGTGGAGGCTGCGGTGGCCAGGAGCAGCCACTGCACTCCAGTCTGGGTGGCAGAGTGAGACTCCAACTCAAAAAAAAAAAAAAAGGAAAGAAAAGAAAAACATCATAAAAACTCAAATAGGGGTATATTCTATAATATGAAAAAGAATGAGAAACTGTCATAGACTGGAAGAGACTGGGGAAACAGGACAACTAAGTTTTAAGTGGTATCTTGAATTGGATCCTGGAAAAAGAAAGATATTAATGAAAAAACTGGTAAAATCCAAACAAAGTTTAGAATTTAGTTAGTGGTAAATGTACTACAATCTCAGGTTCTTTTTTTTTTGAGCTGGAGTCTCACTTGGTCGCCCAGACTGGAGTGCAGTGGCCGCTCCCGGCCACTGCAGCCTAACCTGCTGGGCTCCGGCGATCCTTCCACCTCAACCTTCTGAGTAGCTGGAACTACAGGCATGCGCTATCACACCCGGCTGATTTTTTGATTTTTATTGTAGAGATGAAGTCTCGCTGCCCAGGCGGGTCTCGAACTCGTGGGCTCAGGCAA